GCACCACTAGTGTCTTAAGCGTACCTCTCCATTAGAAAAGGGTACTTTCCTCATTTCATTGTTTTGCCTACTTATTTAAAAACGTGCCCCATGTGCTCCTCCGTTCCTACGCACATGGCCGTATAGAGTACTTCAATACAAACAGATTTTACAAAATATGTTGATCCAAATATTTTTATAGCATCGTTTTGAGGATTGTAGCACATTTCAAAGAGCTATAGTTTCGCTCGTATGGATTGTTTTCAATCTTAAACTTCTACAATTTTCCTTAAATAACAGTCTCTGCTAAAAAAACTGTTCATTATCCTGATAATGCATAAAATACAATAATCAAAATAATGCAAAATCGTGGTCGCTACTCAAACTCAATATGAAAATAGCCTTACTTTTGCAATGTAACCCTTGTGTACCTGTAATTGTATTTGCAATTGAAATGTTAATTTGAATTTTATAGCTGGTAACACGAGCGTGTCGCTGGAGGATATATTGGTTTTTGCTACTGCATCTGACGAGGTCCCACCGTGTGGATTTGATCCCACTCCAACGGTAGAATTCTGGGCAGACAAAAGGCCAAGAGGAAACACATGCGCTAACTCAATCATACTTCCAACATGGCCAGGCAATGATGATGTCTCTTATGAAGAATTTAGAGATTTCATGGATGATGGAATCCAAAATTCACCAGGCTTTGGACGTGCTTAAATCAAACAAACCAATGCACATTGTATTGATTGCTATTATATAGAATACATGGGATGAATATAGTATAGGTAAATTTACTGCTACTTACAGTAGATTTGCTGTACCTGCTTTAATCAGTTTAATGCAAAAATTGTATGATAGAACATTCGCTATCATTCTCAAGTTCAAGTTAGAAATGTTAATGAAATTTTCTGCACTTTTTTCTGTTGTAACATTTTTACGAGATCACTAATATATGATATGGTTTATTTGTTCAAACAAGTTTAATTACTTTAATATGAATCAACTATCAACATAGCTATTAGGTCAAAAACCAGCCTGTGTCCGTGACGACTGCCCTTTACTGACTACTCCAGCAAAGATTGGGCAACAAAGTCTATAGTTCTATCAAATAAATCTCTTCCAAAGCACATTGATTGACTCATCGGATTCACTAAACGTTGCAATTCCGCAAATTTCTCTGGCACCAATGGACAATGTCTGGCTTGAACATCAACATAAGGGAGCTCCTCAGGATTAATAAGTAGGTTCTGTACGTTTAATACTGGATAAGGAACACTGTGAACAGATGAACTGTACAGTTCAGTTAAATGCTGATATGCATGAAATAGTTGCAGTGGCGTTGCAGACCCTTCACTGGAAATAGCATGATGGTTGTGCGCTGCTATAAATTGGTGCAAAACTCTGTTTATCCTTGAAAGATAGACATATTGCAAACAAAATAAGTCAGTTTCATTTGAAACATTTAAGCGCCCTTCGAACTCGAGATCTCTGAATAGTGCAGAAAACTGCCTTGTTACATTGGTATTAATATCCAGATTAAATCTCTCCACACGTTGGTTACGGACAGAGCTACCAACAATTACACTATCCGGACCATTAACAGCTGCAATGCGCTGCCATACCAATACATTTTCCCCACCATGGTCTGATCTCACACGGGCAGGAAGACCAAACTGTGCAAATGCTGTTTGAAAATGAGCAAAAACAGTGGTGGATAGATTGTTGGTGGAAGCTTCAGCGAAAGTCACTAGTCTGCTAAAACCATCTATGGCCACATGAACAACAAACCCCCAACAAACTAATTTATGGTTCCATCGATATGCCAAACATAATTTGGGCCAGGACTATCATATACACGATGGCGAAGACGAGTCCGTCGACGTTCAGCAACACCTTCAGGGTCTACTCTTAGGAGTGATGATCTCAAATCAGACCTTTTAACTTTTATACCTTGTGCCCTGAGGTGACCTGCTGTCATAACTTCTCCAATGTTAGGGTGATCAATCTTTATATTGGAAAGTTTCTGGTCCAATTCATGTTCAGTGATATCTGTGTATCGAGCAACTGGGTTAACGTTTGCGTCATGCATCATCCGATATACAGTTGGTCTTGAAACCCCAAGAAGGCTGACAATTTGTGTTGTTTTGTAACCCAGAGCAATCATATCTTTCAACTGATCTGTACCGACACATTTCTTGGGTCTTCCAGCACCCCTAGGAATTTAAATAGCACTTTTAGGTGTTAGAAAACAATGTAAAACAGATTTATCATGCACTACAAATTGAAAAAACTGAGTGTTTTCCCACAAAATTGTATTTTCTAGTGAATTAATGATATTTAAATTATTACTACCTGGCCATAGCAATACTCCCCATTTCTTGATTTTCAGAAAGGGGGTCTTCCTCTCTAGATTCTGCCATCTGTCTTGTTTCGATACTATCGCTATCAACCTAAAATTTTAAATTTATAAATGAACCACACACACAGATGCCAAGAGAAATTTTGTGCCCATGGAAAAGTCATATTTGTGGGCTCCTAACCCCCCCCCACACACACACACACACACACACACTTGTAGATATGTTAAAAATAATCCTGTTACTTTGTACTATACTTGATGAAGTATTCTTCACAAATATTAATTGCGGTGGCATCAGAATAATTAATATCAGATTGAAATAGAACTTGATGCAACTGCAAATTCCTTGCACAATAAGGGGCATCTGGAGTTTTGAAATTGCAGGAACAGAAACGCTATATCCTGCATTCTGAGCAGTTTTCTGGGGTCCTCCTTTGTTGCGGTCCCCAGTTCAGGACCAGGCTAACCAATCCCCCCCCCAGACCAAGTTTTGAACAACCGACCCCAGGTTATTTTACTATTTATTAAGCACAGCACGGATACACATGATAAGCAAACTATATTCGAACAAGCGCAGAAATGGAAGAGAAGAAATGGCTATTTTTCATTTTTACTTCTGAGTGATTGAAACGAGTCAGTTCACACCATATCGAATATCATGTTGAATCTCATGCGTACTGCGCAATTATGACAATGGCATCCTGCCATCCTTATATTCATCTTGTAATCACTTGTGACTTGTCTGATTCGATAATAGATGATTGAAAATAAGCTGCAGTATATGAAGTTTTGATTTTAATGTATTTATTTATAAATCTTTATACAAACCTGAGTAGTATTTTGCTGTGCCCGACTTGAACTAGTCGACGAAGCCGAGGTTGTAGCTGTTGATGTTGACGATGTATTGGCATTTGCACTCGAACTTGCTGGTGAATGACTCAAGAAAGTGGCTACTGTGCTTGCCACAACTCTTCCCAATTCGTCTGGATTAAACGAAGCCATCGAAATATCAAATTTTCTGCGTTGATTCCGTTGAAATCGCCCGGTTGAAACACGTTTCAAATGTTAAGATATTATTTACATAGATCCGCGCGAAATATATGTGACCGCTGACCAAATTGCGCGAATGCTTCATCTTTATTACTGCGCATATAATCCAATTCAGAAAATGATTATTTGCAAATAAGGATTATTTAGCGCAATAAAATGATTATTTGTATATAATGATTTTTTGCACAGAGTAAATGTGAATAGAGATGTAAAGACCAATGTTTTTTTGTGAAAATGATTATTTACAAATAAGCAATTTTGTGTAAATGATTATTTATAAATAAACAATTTGGTGAAAATGATTATTTACAAATAAGCAATTTTGTGTAAATGATTATTTACAAATAAGCAATTTTGTGTAAATGATTATTTATAAATAAACAATTTTGTGAAAATGATTATTTGTAAATAAGTAATTTTGTAAAATTGATTATTTATAAATAAACAATTTTGTGAACATGATTATATACAAATAAGCAATTTTGTGAAAATGATTATATGCATATAATCAATTTTGTGAAAATGATTATTTACAAACAATCAATTCACATTAGAAATACTTATTTGTAAATAATCTTTTATACCATGAGATTCTTTACAAACCATGAAAAAAACAACATGAAAATTTCACAAATAATTTTTTTACATCCGGTGCCTCATAGTTGCCTACAATATAAACTGTTTACAGTTTTAGTAAAAGAACATTAGACCAAAAGAACTTCTTGTTTTGGTGTCTGTGTTAGGAGTCATATATATATATATATATATATATATATATACAGGGTGTATCAAAAAAAGCGCAATCCTCGACTGAAATGTAAATTGCTAAACAAATAATAGACGAAAACGTTAAAGTTTACATTCATTTTAAAGCGTAGCCATTCAGCTTTCTAACAGTTGGTTGTTTCTTAAATTTGACTCATTTGTTCGCGGGTAATAATACTTTACGTTATTGCGATTGGAGATTAAAAAAAATGAGATGGAATAACAAATCGTTCTCATGAAAATAACTGATTTTTTCATTAAAACAAAAATGTTGCATTTTATTAAATGGATTGTAACAATAAGTATAATTACGGCTTTTCTTCCGCTATTTTTAACTCAGTTTGAAACTTCAAATGCGATATAATTTTGGTTTGGACCATCTAAGCTGACTGACATCAACTTGCTATAATTTCTGTTTACATTACATCGCAATTCGATGACACTCTGGCTCAGACACCAGAATGTTTTGACGATTTTTAGCATTCGTTTAGGATTTTCAAACAACCTGGTCTCTTTTAAAATACTTTAATTTGTTCTTACGTGGTTTTCCAGATGTAGTGACGACAACATTAAAAAATTAAAGAAGAAAATTCTAACATTTAAATCGACTAAACAATAACATATAGCAAACTTGCATAATTAAACAGCAACTAAAAATGATAGGTTTTACTAAATCTTTTCCTGTGCAATTATTA